CATATGAAGGAAAACATTTCTCCATCTATTCCTAAAGCTTCTTAATAAAAAAAACCATTTGTTGGGATTTTTTATATGGTGATAACTCTATCCCGGGCTCCTTAGATACATAATCCGATCAAGTATGATGGAAACCTTCACTCCAACAGATCTCAACCATTGGATTGAAGGTTTCCATCATCCTGATGCTTTTGATAAAGTTTTGTGTGAATCCACTAGTGAGATCAATCGGATCATGCCAGATTAGTTTAATGGTTTCAGGAGATAGCTGAGGTTGAAGATGAAATCGTGACCATTGATCTAAGTCACGGTCCCCGTTCAATCCCATGATTTTGAAACCCTTTAATCACATCCATCCAATCATTAATCTAACATTAAGGACTAACCCCACGGCTACACCGATAGTGCCAATGATTGGCTTCCCAATCAAGGCACTCTGCGAGTAAAGCGCTTGCTGACTGTGTAATTTTGGGTTAATTAAATGCAAAAATCATAGGAAACTTCAAAATTTTAGATCTCTCAATCCACCTAATCAAATTAGGTGTTCTTAAACTCATTGGAAAGATCTCAAAGAGATCTTCAAAAACTCTATGATCCTAGGCCTTAATTGCATTTGTATTAATCTTAATTTTAGTTTGAATATTTTACTTATTATTGCATTTATGTGTTAAATTGAAGTCACCAAGTCTTGGGACCTTGGGAGAGTCAATTCAGACATGTCCCTGACATGTCCAGTTTTTTCTCCCTTGTTTGAGGTGTTTAAGGGTAATTTCATGCCAATTTAGGTTTAAGGGTTATAGTTTGACTCTTAAATTCAAATTAGTGTCATGGTATCTCTAATGAGAATTGGGATCTATGTTTTGGTTTGATGATAGTGCTTAGCATAGGGAGTGTAGAGCCACTAATTTTTCCCTAATCAGAACTTAGGATAGATCCCTAGGATTTTTTCAAGGTGACTAAGAGGTCACCTTAGGTGTCTTGGTTAGCCACCTTAGAGAGTTCCATTTAGGCTTAAATTTAATGTGTTTGGACCTTGAGGTTAGCTAATCTCATGGTCCAAAATTCACTAGGTTTGGTGTTCATTTGGTCCACCAATTAGGAGCCTCAAAATCCCTCCCTAGAATTGACAAAGAACCATAAATAATTAACTAAAACTTCATATTAAGCACAAAAAAAAATTATATGAGGACTCTATCTAACCCTAATTGAACTCTTAACTCATGAAAAATAAGAACCCTATCAGATAACCCTTAATTTCATTTTAATCTAAATTTCAATAAATCTAACAATTAAATCTAATAATTAATTAAAAATAATTAAAAAATCCCAAACTAATTTCAAACACTTTAAAACATCCCCATGGGTCATCCCTGACCTTTGGGAGTGATTCCATGAGGTTTAGAATGATCTTGAATCAAAATCACCAAAACCTTCCTAATTAAGAAATTTTAAAATCCAATTAATTAAACAAACTTTCCAATTTAATAAAACTTAAAGGAAATCAACTCTAATTAAGTTCTAATATTTTCTAAAAATGTCAAACCTCCAAAATTTAGTCAAAGTTAAAATGCCAATAATTTGGTCAAACCTAAGTCAAAATCAAGTCAAAACTTCGAAAATTCATAACTTTTTTAGGAAACTCCAAATTGAATATAGTAATAGTCTAATCACTCATCATAAGTCCTAATATTTTTAAAAAATTTAAAATCTTTAAAATCTACTTTAATTTTAAAAGTCAGCCTTTAACCACTTAATTAATATATTAAATTAATTCCAATAATTCTAAAAAATTTAATTATTCATTAAAATTTAAGAAATCTTTAATTTGATTAATAAAAATCATCTAACCAACTAAATTAACTACTCAACCCAGATTGCTACTACGTAACTCAGACCTACGAGATTATTAACTTACTCACAAGGAAGGTAAAACAAACTTCACGGCCTCGGTATGCAACAAAGGTAGCAATCATTTAACAATTAAAATACACCAAAATCAAGCTTTAACACATTAATACTTAAACTCAAACAAAAAAGTTCTCCTTCAGCCTTTAACAAACTCAAATATTAGATAACCTCAATAAATTACCCAGTTTAGGATCTACCCTAATCACACACACTTTAGATGGTTTTTTTTTTTTTTTGAAAGAAATTCATCATATAGCATTAAACCCAAAAGAAAACTAAGTACAAGTAATAAGGGGATCACATTCTTCCTTGATTAAGCCTAACAACAAGGAAGGAATGCGATCAAAAGAAGAGCTATCAAAGAAAAAGCTATTCTCCAATGCCATAGTAGCACAACAATTTGCTACTTTATTACAATCTCTGTAAGCATGGAGAAAGACAACCTTATTAAAATCATGCAAAAAACATAAATTCTTATGTGGCCACTTACCCACATTCTCCTTATTATCCTTCAAAGAATTCTGAATGAATTTGATGATATTCATATTATCACTTTCTATGATAAGCCCTTTACATTCCAACATCCAGCTCTTCAAAAACTCCTTAACCATGAGGACTGCTTGTAATTCAAGATGGCTAATATCCCAATGCATTCCATTCTTTCCAAAAGCACTAATAAATCTTCCTTTGTGATCCCGAAAGATTCCTCCAATGCCACCCAAATTAGAGCTTGTCAAGGATGCATCTACATTTACCTTAATCCATTCTTTTGGTGGAGGGTACCAAGTTCTTTGAGACTCCCTAAGGAGATTAGTACCCCAACAAGATAGAAATGGACTAGATTTGGAGACAGCATAAAACAGAGCATTAGCAGCAATAACAGAACACGGCACAGCATTCTTACCATGTTTAATATTATTTCTACTCTTCCAAGAATAATAGATAGTAGAGAAATACAGTCGAACAATCCCAGGATTCTTTACAGACATCTTCCTTAAGTTCTCCAAGCAGCAATCCAGCGAATGAAAGGTAGGAATAAAAATTCCCCATTCCCTCAACTTCAGAATTATTTCAATCAGATACTTGCATTTTACCATAATGTGTTCATACGTTTCATCAACTTGGCAACCTCTAGGACAAAGACCATTATCTGAGATTTTACGATTCATGAGAAACATATTGGTTGGTATGGCTGATTTACCAAGTCTCCACTAAAACATTTCAATATTTTTACTAATCTTCAATTTCTTCACCCAGCTGAAATATTCCACATCCTCCATATTGCATTTGTTGAGCCACATTTGTTCAAAAACCATAGCAGACACTGTCTTCCCCGAACCAATCTTCATCAGCTCCATCTGATCCTCCTCATTATACTCAATTGGAATTTGAGTGATTAAAGAGATAAAATATGGATGAAATGCTCTTCGTAACAATTCATAATTAGACATACCATTATCAAGGATTAATTGCTGCACACTCATACCATCGAGAAAATTGCTGTCCACAAAAGTAGGCCAACGATTAATGCATTTATCAAGCACCCAAGTGTCATTTAAGATGCTGATTTTATCTCCTTTTCCCACCTTCCATCGAACCACCATCTTCAAATTTTTTCCACCATCCAGTAAGATTTTCCAAGCATTTGAGCTGATATTCCTGTGAGCTCCATTCATTACACTATCCCCATATTTACTTTCCATGACACAGTGAAGCAAAGAACCAGGCTTTTGGTTAAAGTTCCATGTCACTTTGGATCTTAAAGATTCAATTCTCTGTAAAGAAGAATGCAAGCCCAATCCTCCCATACTACTAGACTTGCAAATATCATTCCAAGCAATGTAATGCATCCCCTTAGTGCCATCTTTATTATTCCAAATAAAAATTCTACATAGCTTCTCCAAGTCATGTAAAAGGCTCTTAGGTACCAAAGATTGGGTAATAAGAAAATTTGCCATAGAGAGCAAAGAACTTTCTACAAGAATCAATTTACCTCCCAAGGATAAAGATTTTCTGCTCCAAGCATTAAGTCTTTCCATGGCATTACTAAGAACTTCTTGATAATCAACCATCTTCATTCTTTCAAGTGAGATTTTTACTCCTAAGTATCTCATTTCCTTCACTATCTTAAACCCAAGAAGTCAGCCAATCTTCCTCCTCATATGATAGTTGACTACCTTTCCAAACAACAATTGAGATTTGCCAATATTAATCTTCTGCCCAGTCCACTTACAAAATTTTTCCACAATTGTCTTCATACTTTTAGCAAACTCAACAGATGCATGAGAGAAAATTAGAGCGTCATCTGCATATAGTAAATGCGTAATCTTTGGCCCTCCACTTGAAACTTGAATGCCAAGGCTCTTCCCTCTTTGCTCCAATGAGTTAGTAATCAATTGGAAACACATGATGAATAAATATGGTGAAAGTGGACATCCCTGACGGAATCCACTTTGAGCATTGATCCATTCAGAGTTCTTCCCATTAATAATGAAGGAAAATCTCACATCTACAACACATTCCAAGAGTAAGTTAGAGAAAGCAATAGGAAAACCATACCATCTCAAAATATGACGAAGAGTAGTCCATCCCATGCTATCATAAGCTTGTTCCATATCAAGCTTAACGGCCATCATTCCTTTCTTATTCTTTGAGATTTTAAACTTGTGGAAAATCTCCTGAGCAAGCAAACAATGTTCAGCAATAGATCTTCCATGTATGAAGGCATCTTGTTCTTCGGAAATCATTCTAGCCATTCCCTTCTTCAATCTATTAACAAGCATAGTAGCCACAATTTTATAATTGGTTTGATAAAGGCTAATGGGCCTATAATTCGATGGAGACAAGGGGTTCTTCAATTTAGGAATTAAGACAATCAACGTGTCCTTCCATTCCTTATTCATATGGATGGAATTAAAAAACTTCCTTTCTGCATTCCAAAGAGTTTCCCATATAATATTCCAATAGCTTTTGTAGAAGGAAGAGGTAATGCCATCCACACCAAGAGATTTATTATTCCCTTGCTGGAACACCGCAATCTGTAATTCATTTTCTGTAAACTCAACATTTAACAACTCCATGTCTTCGGCATTTCACTTCTGATTCTCCATAATAGAAGGCCATCCCGTGACTTCACATTCACTATATTCCCATTTCTTCTCAAAGAATTTGGTGAAGACTTTCTCGATTTGATCCTCCTCCACTTGCAACTTATTTGCTTCATCTTTGACTTGAAAAATACGATTCCCATTCCTTCTAGCTGTTGCAAAGTTATGAAAAAACTTAGAATTTGTATTGCCTTCCTCATGCCACCTAGCCTTAGCCCTTTGATTCCACCAAGTTGAAAGTCTTCTCATAGTGATATTGAGTTGATTAACCTTATTTCTAAGTTTAAACAGGTCATCAGCAGACCACTTACTACTCAATGCTTCTTTGTTTTGCAAATCAAGGATCTCTTTCTTCAGTTTATCCTTTAAGGCATTCAAATCCTTGCATTTATTTCTGCTCCAGAAAAATAAGGATTTCAAAGTACGATTAAGCTTCTTTTGTAAGACTTCATACTCATTACCATCATCATGCTTCTTCCAGGAGTGATAAACTATGCTCTTAGCCTCCTGATAAGATCTCCATGTATCTTCAAATTTGATTGTTCTCGGCTTAAGCCGTATTCTATCATCCATCTTGATCACAATTGGACAGTGATCACATGCCATCCTTGCCAAATGTCTGTTCACTACCAAAGGAAGCTTTTGCATAGCCAAATAATTCAAAATACATCTGTTTAACCTTTCCCATATCTGAGAATTACCTTCTTTGTTGTTACACCATGTGAATCTTGGCCCAACATATCAAATATCATGAAAATCTTAATTTACCATGAAGCTCTTCATTTCTCTCGGTCCCTTGGAAAAAAGGAACCTCTTACCTCCTCTATTATCATCTTTGTTTAGAATACAATTAAAGTCTCCCCCTATGATGGAAGGACTAGAATTCTCCATGCTTCTCTCCAATTGATTCCAAAGATCACTTCTCTCCTTGTTGCAATGGCTTCCATAAACCGTAGCAATCTTCCAAATTCCTAAGCTAGGAATCGAAAGATTACCAATGATCACCTGAGAAGAAGCTTCACAAACCTCAAATGACACCAAATTTATGTTCCACAAAACCAGGATACCACCAGAAGTCCCAACAGCAGGTTGGTGAAAATAATCCCACTCATTTCCCATTAGGCAATCCACCTCCATTCTACCAATGCTAGACAGCTTTGTCTCCATAAGCCCAATAAAGAAAACATTTTCATCTCTAACCATTTCCTTAAGATACAGGGAAGCTTCTTTCTTCCTCGCTCCCCTACAATTCCAGAAAAGAATTGAAGAGATAATTAATAAGGTATAGAGGATCTTCCCCCACTATTGGGGTTCAACCTTCCATTCCTCTTCTTCTTCTCACTATTAACAGGTCCCAATGACTTCAATTCTTTGGCTAATTTAACCTTGACATCTTCACTACCATAATTCATATCAAGATTTACCTCCAGTTCCAATAATTCCGAGCCTTTGTCAACCACCTTATCATTACTAACAGCTTTACCCAAAAGTTCTTCCTCATTCTCCTCAACCAGAATAGCAAACAGGTTTGTTGATTGTTCGAACATACCAGTTACAGCATCTTTTCCAGAGACTTCATCTGCCTTATTACCGTTACATTCATCCTGAACTTTCTCCTAGACTTCTTCAAGCTGAACATCCTTATGACCAACATAAATTCTATGTTCTATTTTCCTTCCAATATCCTGCTCATATTTATTTACTGCATTGCTTCTTCTACCTCTTCTATTCTTGAATTTTACATGAATCCATGGACCATATTCAGTACTCACCACATAATGCTTATTGTCATGTCTCACCAAATTGTCCTGCCCATTATCTGATCTCATACTCTTCAATGATTGATCTTGAATCACCAATGTGACATTTTCCGGACATGTCTTCTTATCATGGCCTACCCTTCCACATTGGTAGCACATAAGATCAATTTTTTCATATTCCACCCTTTGGAAAAATCTCCTAGCCGAACCTTCAACCCACGTACCATTCAAAAGTTTCTTCTCTAAATCAATTCTCACACAAACACGTGCAAATTCTTGTTTACTCCATTGGAATGTATTTCCATCTACATACATAGGTGATCCAAAGCAAGAAGCAATTCTAGCTATGCTATCTTCATCCCAGCAATATAAAGGTAAGCAAGGTAATCGGATCCACACCGGAGCAGATATACCTTTAAACGAATTTGTATCAAAAGTAGGAGTCCACCTATCCATACCAACGATTAATACATTCACATACCATGGGCCCCCATTCAAAACTTCATCAATCACCTCACACGAATTGAACAAACATAGTATCCAATCCAATCCAATTGAGGTCAAGTGAAATTTACCGTATTGGCTCCATTGTCTTCTTAGCTCCGAACTGCAAACTGAGAATCGAACTCCATTACCTAGAACTTTGAGTACAATCAAATTCTTCAATACTCTAGCATTCTCATCTTCCCTTTCCGCGTTCAATTTTACCGCCACACCGTCCTCAGAGAATTCCATCAAATCTCTATCAAATGTAATCTTGATTGGCTTCGGTTTCGTCCAAGCCTCAGCAACTTCGCCCATATTCTTCACGATATATTCCTTTCAGATTTCTAAAGAAACAGATCCATCACCCATATTACGCACTTTCTGTGCATCAAGAACCTCGGAAAAATTTCTCACCCATAAGACCAAATTTTGTGAAGTCGAAGACTCAACATTCATCAAACCAGGTAGGTCTTCAACAATCGTATCCACTCTTGCATCCAATTCATCCATTATCACATTCTTTCCTTTACCTTCAACATTTTCTTGACGGCTTAAAGGCTTACCTCCTTCCCTAATCACTATTCCATTGGATTTTCTATCACTGGATCGAAGATAACCAGATGATCGTGGAACAATCATGGATACCGGCTGAAAATGCCGATGATCCACCTGCGCAGTAACCATCGATCGCGGAAAACCTGCAAAATCTGATTTCAAAACCAGGAAGAACTTTCTCTCTCTAGAATTCAAACCGGGTTAGATGGTTTATTAAGACAATTTACTCTAGATTTAGGCTAAGCTGGTGTTTACGTTTCTGCTGTGTGCTAATTTTCTGAGATTTTATTGCATGTTGTGATTTAAATATTTTGGTGTGTCTATTTACTTTTACTGTACTTTATGGAATGATGATGTTATTGGCATTTAGATTACCCTTAGGTTAGGAATTATCTAGATGCTTACTGAGTTTTTTGTAGGTGGTCGCACTCATGCAAGGCAATAAAGGGAAAAAATAAAAAATAAATATAACTGCTATAGGTGCTTCAACTGCTTAGCCCCCAAATAAAAAAGTGTGTAACCATTATGGTTAGTGGTGCCCGACCACTTTTAATTTCTGCATTTCTTGGTTGTAATAAGTAAGGCAGTTTGTTTATAGACATTTATTAATTAATTTGATTATATTTGACGTTTTAATGTGATTGTGATTAGGATTTTACCTACTTTTCCTAGTCTTTTTATGTTTGTATGCCGCTTTTGATTTAGCCTGGATACGTGAGACTAGTGAGGGTTTGAAAATTCTTTTACTCATAATAAAAAATTAAAATGTTATGAGTTAAATAACACAGAAAGATAATGATCTAGGGAGTAAGCTGGAGATCGTCCTAGGTCACATGCATATCGATGCATTCCTCTTTCCATGTTTTAAGACACTTCCCCGCTTGTGGGTAGAGTTCAAATAATTCAACCTATAAGGATGAGGTGCTGAACCTAGGGAAGCCTAATATTCTAAAAAAAACTATTTTAAAGCCTTTTTCAAATTTTAAATATTAGAAGTAAATTTAAAAGAGTATAAATTTTAATTGCATCTATTTTTATCATTTCACCTAACATAAGTCATGGGGCCACTTAGGACAATCTCTAGATGTCGGCCTAGCTCTCCAAATCCTTAATAAAAATGTTCCCACCACTCTTTTATAAAATGATCGTACTCAAAGATATAAAATCAACTAGGTGGCTAACTGGCTGCCCAATCCAAGCTAGGGTAAGTCTAGATTTTATATTGCATTAGTTAGGTTTGGGTCACCAGTATGTGGTGCCCAATTTAGATTTAGGATCTCGGGTGAATCTTGGATCATAAGACCCCAACCATTGGGAATATAATCCCAAATTTATAATAAAATGCTTAACTCAAATTAAATCTTCTTTCAACATAAAATATAAAGCACAACATTTAGATTAGGATGGGAGACTTTTGGATTGTTCCAAAATCCCAAAGTGTCCCCTACTCTTCTTCCTTTGATTTGAAAATACGTGCTCAATCTTGATCCATTCCTTGTTGAAATTCCAAAATCCAACTCCTTTGATATCACTCCTAGAAAATCTTTATGTAAAATTTGTCATTATTTTAATCGAGAGTATTTATAATAAATTTTAATTTCCTATGAAGTAATTAACTATGAGGGCTTATACTCGTAAGAGATTTAGAGCACACATGCACCTTTTTCAAAATCAATTTTTAAAATTCAAAACTAATCTTCTTTTGGAAAATCAAGTCGGTAACGATCATTATTATCATATTCCATCGATAAAAAATAAGTGATTTTTTCTCTCTTTGGAGAGATCATCATTCATTATTATTGCATGGAATATGAAATTAATGATCTTCCATACGGATTATGGTGGTTGAATATTGATAAAATCTCATTTTGACCCTTCAGGATTGTATGCATTTCATATTAGAATTCAGTTACTACAAACATGATGATAGCTTTCATTTTCATCATCTGAATCCGCTAGCAAATGATATTTTTGCCTTATGGGGTAATATATTATTTATAACGAGATGTTCGATTTTGAGGCTGTAAATTTAAAACTCAAAATTTTTAAATAAGATTAGATCCTTTCAAAACCCTCTTTTAAAACTTCCACCAACACCCACCAACATAAACCAAGCCATATGTGATGAATTATATATCCTAGCCATGCAAGAAGAGTTAAATCCATTTATAAATAAAGATGTTTTGGAGCTAGTTGAAAAACCTAAGGACTAGAGTATGGTTGGAACTAAATGGGTTTTCAAAAATAAAATTATTGATTCTAGTGTAGTTGTAAGGAAAAAGACAAAATTGGTGGCTAAGGGGTATAACTAGATAGAAGGGTTTGACTTTGAAGAGACCTTTTCCCTTTTAGTTAGATTGGAAGTCATTATGGTGCTACTACTAGCCTTTACTTATTTTAAGGGATTCAAACTATATCGAATGGATGTCAAAAATGTCTTTTTGAATGGGGGTGATAAAACAAGATGTGTAAGTTATACAACCCCTAAGCTTTGAAAATTCATAATTTCCTAATAATATGTTTAAATTAAAAAAGGGATTGTATAGACTTAAACAAGCACCCAAGACATAGTATGAAAGGCTCAGCACATTGCTACTAGAAAGAACCTTTGTTAAGGAGAACGTAAACACCACCCTATTTCTAAAAAAGGTAGGAGATGAACTATTGATTATCCAAATTTATATTGATGATATTTTGTTTGGATCCTTTGATAAAAGCCTTTGTGATGAGTTTTCAAAAATAATGAGTAAGAAATTTGAGATGAGTATGATGGGAGAACTAACCTACTTTCTAGGATTTAGTATAAGGCAGAAGGATGATGAAGCATTCCTTAGTCAATCAAAGTATATTAAGGATATCCTTAAGAAATATGAAAGGGATAAAGCTAAGCCAATCAATACTCCCATGAGTTCCACTATTCTGTTAGATAAAGATTCAAATGAAAAATTTATTGATCTGAAGAAATATAGAGGAATTATTGGATCTCTTCTTTACTTGACTATTAGCATACCTGATATTATGTTTAGTATTTATCCTTGTGCCAAATTTTTGGCTAATCTAGAAAAGTCCCACTTGGCTACTATTAAGAGAATTCTTAGATATCTCTTAGGAACTTAGGACTTGGGAATCTGATATCCTAAACATAGAAACTCTTTTGAAAACATATGATATTTTAATTTAGATTTTTTAGGATACCAAGTTGATAGAAAATACACTTCTAAAACATGCCAATTCAAAGGACAATCCATAGTCTCATGGTCCAGTAGAAAATAGAACTCAATTAGTCTATCTAATATTAAAGTTGAGTACATAGCCTTAGGAAGTTTTATGGCTCACATCCTCTGGTTAAAATAACAAATTCTAAACTTAGGTCTATCAGTAGGCATAATTCTAATCATATATCATAACACTAGTGTCATTTGTATTTTAAAGAATCCAATCAAACACTCCAAGACTAAACACATTAACATAAGGCACCATTTTATTAGGGACCATGTTACCAAAGGAGACATAGAGCTATACCATGTAGCCAATGAAAACCAACTTGCTGATATATTTACAAAACTATTGATCTTTAAAACCTTTGTCATCTTAAGAACCAAACTATGTGTAGTAGATATTCATCCTTGAAACTGACTCTTTCTGTTTCTTTTATTTATTTTTTATTTATTTGTAGTCGATTTCTTTTTATGTGTTACTATTTTATATTTTTCATTTTTTTGGTTGTTTTTCCTTCAGTGTTTTTAAAGAATAAGATCAATGCTAACTTCTATTATTGAATTCTTAAATGACATTTTTGCTTTGCCTCTAGTTTTAGAAAAGCAGTGCTTGACTCCTCTAAAATAGTTAAAGTAAGAAAGATTGATGATTGTCACTCTTCCTCTAACTCCTTTAATGGTGTATTTTTCTTTTTGAAGCAAAATCTATTTCAAATTTAAAAAATAGGTTTTGAAATTGAGATCTATTCTATCTTCTTACAGAAATTTATCTTATATAAATAATGCTCAAAATCATTAAATCACTTTCAAGTTTTCTTAATTAGGTTGTTGCATTTACCATATAGATATGATTCTGATTTATTATTTATTCTTTCTTATAATAGAGAGTGAGTTTTTCTTCTCTTATATTTGAAAGGTAATCTCACAATTGAGAGCTTTAAAGGTTTTGAAAGGAAGCCAACTCACAAAAATGACAAGAGGCATAAAATTAGCCCATAAATTAAAAAGATGTGTAATAACTGCCAAGTAATTGTAAGATACACCAAAGTATATAAAAAATAAAAAAGATATGTAAAGTGCACCAGATAAATAAAAAAGAGGCACAAAATGAGAAAACAAAGAAATAAGCTTCCTTCTCTTTCAAATCTTTAAATCTTAGAAGAATCAATATGCCACTTGATATTTTCAAATACTTGAATTTGAAAATCATGATTTTGATTAATTACTTTATAATATTATTATCACATATTTTTTCTAAAAAGAACTTTGAAAAGATCACTTCTTATATAATTTCTTTTCTGAATTAAATTTTTTATTTAAAAATAATTTTAACCTGTAAAGAGTTCGACCTAGGGTTAACAATATCAATTTATACCTCTTTTGGATTTCAGCATTATCAATTCATTTCTTACAAATTTTTAATCAACTCAAAAGAAAACTTTATCATTTACTAGAGTTGATCGATTAAAAAAAGGGGGGGGGGGGTCTTTATTTTGATTTTTAACTGGTTTTTAGTTTGTTTTTTGTGTTTATTATGCTTTT